TTTTAGGCCAATAAAATAAAAAGGGTAAAATTTGGACATTGGTTCTTATTTCTTTAAATTTGTAACTAACCTGAGCTTGTTAAGGAGCCATTGAGTTTGCAGTTATATATTGATAAAACCTTGAGAGAAGTCAATGCTTCAATGCCATTGACGAAGTTGGTTGGCAGGATAGAATCCTCCACAAACAACTCTTCCACTTTGGTCAAGTTATGAAAACCTAATAAAAAAAATTGATTATATTCATGTAATCTTCCATCATATATAGTTAATAAATTTAGAGCAATGACATATATTTGTAACAAAAATATTCTAAGAAGATGAAAAAGAAATTACAGTAAAGATGAAAATTTAGCATAAATATTTTTAGGCCAATAAAATAAAAAGGGTAAAATCTGGATATTGGTTCTTATTTCTTTAAATTTGTAACTAACCTGGGTTTGTTAAGGAGCCACTGAGTTCGCAGTTATATATTGATAAAACCTTGAGAGAAGTCAATGCTCCAATGCCATTGATGAAGTTGGTTGGGAGGATAGAATCCTTCACAAGCAACTCTTCCACTTTGGTCAAGTTATGAAAACCTAATAAAAAAAAATTGATTATATTCATGTTATGAATACCTAATAAAAAAAATTGATTATATTCATGTTATGAATACCTAATAAAAAAAATTGATTATATTCATGTTATGAATACCTAATAAAAAAAAATTGATTATATTCATGTAATTTTCCTTCATATATAATTAATAAATTCAGAGCAATGGCATATATTTGTAACAAAAATATTCTAAGAAGATGAAAAAGAAATTACAGTAAAGATGAAAATTTAGCATAAAAATTTTCAAGCCAATAAAATATAACAAGATGGCACATTTTTGAAAGGAAAAATTATATTTGTAATAATAAAATGGAGATAAACCAAGCTTACCTCTTGTACTCGGGTTCATTTTTATTTTAGCAGGTTCTAGGAATAGAGTTTTTAAGGATGGAAGGCTTGCCAAAGATGATAAGATGCTGTAGCTGAAGTTTATTCTTCCAGTTAGGTCAAGCACCTCCAAATGATCAAGTCTTGATAGCATTTTTAAATCAGCTGTTGCAAATCAACAATCAAAGCATGTTGTTCACAAGCATCTAAATTTGCTAAGCATATAGCATAAAATTAGAACTGTAACGTATAGTTTTTAGCTAATTAGTTTTGTTAGTTATCACTCAAAGATGATAAGATCAGTTGATTTATTGTGATTTAGACCTAGGATTTGCAAGTTTTCTCAACATAGAAAGGCTCTCAAAAGTTGCAATATATATAATTATTTATTTAGTTTTGGAGCCACATCTACATTAAGATGAAAC